AAGTGGCATGTAGCATAAAATGTAATTGGTATGACTTTAGAGTTTTGTTATTGTAATCGTTTGTGGTGCACCATGGTGGATTGTTGTAATCAACAAAACCTTTAATTTGATGATTAAGCAGAAAACAAAAACCATAAAGTTGATCGTTTGCCTGTTCTTTTTCAGTACTAACTCCAATTCTCTTAGTAGGTACTGTTATGGAACAAATTGCTCCTTTATCTTAAACACATCATCAGCTTAGTGTTTAAAGTTGCATGTGAATAAATTTACAAAAGTGTTTTGAAGTGCGATGAAGAAAAAAATCAATGTTTGGCCTGATTTTAGGCAAACTTATTCAGGCATTCACTTGTTTGGTTGTTCTTTCGTTTGTTGGTTTATTGATTTAGTGTCAGTCAATTAATGTGACGGATAGACTTAAATTTAAATGTTTGTCGTAATTTTGAAGTGTTAATCGTTAAGTAAACAACAAATTTAATTTGTTCGAACGTTTTAAAAAACAAAAGGTTTGCATTCAAACGTGCAAAAACTAAAGTTAGAATCCTACAGTTTCAGTTCTAAATGATTGGCTATAGTCTAGACAATATACTAGAGTTTATACTATAGTCTAGTCTATAATAAGTACTATAATCTAGTCTATATACTGGACAATAGATAGACTCTAACCTAGACTACAATCCAGACTATCGACTAGACTAGTAAGAATATAGACTAGACTATAAATAGTTCAGACTATACACCAGACTGTAGTCCAGATTATATACCTGACTAAAGTTTTCTTAAAAATTTTGTGTATTTTGTCGCAAATGTATTTCATTTTTACAAATTATTTAATTTGTTCGATCGAAAATTGCAAGTAATGTTTAATAAATATTTATTTTATTGTCTGTATCTAAGGAAATCAGATGATCATGAAACGTTAAATGAACTTTTATTAGTTTAAACTTAGACATTGAAAGCGGCTAATAACTTCCCTCTACCAAAGCCACTTATATCATACATTTGTATTTCGAACCACTTAACCGAAAAATATTCCCATGAGAAAATTTACAATAATCTAGGTTTAATCAAAACTTTTCATTACACATTTATTTAACACTTTTGCTTTTCATCTTTACACAATTATTGTGTTAAGAAATTAAATTGTATGAACCAATTATTGTTATTAATTAAAATCTTGTTAGTTTAATAAAGATATATAAACAATTTATTAAAGATAAGTACACAACTGTAAATAAAAACTTTGCTAGAAGCATACTTATTGGTTTTGGGTAAGATTATGCTTATTGGCAGGTTAAACTTGAGAAGTAATCGGATGTTATGTATTCAGTAATTGGAGGCTAATGGGTAGAAATAGTCTAAATAGCACTTTTGAAGAACAAATTAATCAAACCTGATATTCTGAAAAATCAGGAGTCCCCTACCGTCACCATACACAAAGGAGTACCTCCTGTAAATTAATAGTCAATGTTCTAGTTCGTCAGACCTCAAGTCGTGGCTCCAACTTCGAACAGAAGGCTAACTACTAACTAACTAACTAACTAACTAACTAACTAACTAACTAACTAACTAACTAACTAACTAACTAACTAACTAACTAACTAACTAACTAACTAACTAACTAACTAACTAACTAACTAACTAACTAACTAACTAACTAACTAACTAACTAACTAACTAACTAACTAACTACTAACTAACTAACTAACTAACTAACTAACTAACTAACTAACTAACTAACTAACTAACTAACTACTAACTAACTAACTAACTAACTAACTAACTAACTAACTAACTAACTACTAACTAACTAACTAACTAACTAACTAACTAACTAACTAACTAACTAACTACTAACTAACTAACTAACTAACTAACTAACTAACTAACTAACTAACTAACTAACTAACTAACTAACTAACTAACTAACTAACTAACTACAACTAACTAACTAACTAACTAACTACTAACTAACTACTAACTAACTAACTAACTAACTAACTAACTAACTAACTAACTAACTAACTAACTAACTAACTACTACTAACTAACTAACTAACTAACTACTACTAACTAACTAACTAACTAACTAACTAACTACTAACTAACTAACTAACTAACTACTAACTAACTAACTAACTAACTAACTAACTACTAACTAACTAACTAACTAACTAACTAACTAACTAACTAACTAACTAACTAACTAACTAACTAACTAACTAACTAACTAACTAACTAACTAACTAACTAACTAACTAACTAACTAACTAACTAACTAACTAACTAACTAACTAACTAACTAACTAACTAACACTAACTAACTAACTACTAACTAACTAACTAACTAACTAACTAACTAACTACTAACTAACTAACTAACTAACTAACTAACTAACACTAACTACTAACTAACTAACTAACTAACTACTAACTAACTAACTAACTAACTACTAACTAACTAACTACTAACTAACTAACTAACTAACTAACTAACTACTAACTAAACTAACTACTAACTACTAACTAACTAACTAACTAACTAACTAACTAACTACTACAAACTAACTAACTACTAACTAATTAACTAACTAACTAACAACTAACTAACTAACTAACTACTAACTAACTAACTACTAACTAACTAACTAACTAACTAACTAACTACTAACTAACTAACTAACTAACTAACTAACTAACTAACTAACTACTACTAACTAACTACTAACTAACTACTAACTACTACTAACTAAACTAACTAACTAACTACTAACTAACTAACTAACTACTACTAACTAACTAACTAACTAACTAACTAACTAACTAACTAACTAACTAACTAACTAACTAACTACTAACTAACTAACTAACTACTAACTAACTAACTAACGAACTAACTACTAACTAACTAACTACCAACTAACTAACTAACTAACTAACTAACTAACTAACTACCTAACTACCTAACTACCTAACTACCTAACTAACAACTAACTAATTAACTAACTACTAACTACTAATTAACTATCTAGCTTACTAGCTCTAGCCTTTAGTCTAGTTTATAGCTAGGACTAACTAACTACTAACTAACTAGCTAGCTAGCTAACTAACTAACTAACTAACTAACTAACTAACTAACTAACTAACTAACTAACTAACTAACTAACTACTAACTAACTAACTACTAACTAACTAACTAACTACTAACTAACTAACTAACTAACTAACTAACTAACTAACTAACTACTAACTACTAACTAACTAACTAACTAACTAACTAACTACAACTAACTAACTAACTAACTACTAACTACTAACTAACTAACTAACTACTAACTAACTAACTAACTAACTAACTAACTAACTAACTACTAACTAACTAACTAACTAACTAACTACTAACTAACTAACTAACTAACTAACTAACTAACTAACTAACTACTAACTAACTAACTACTAACTACTAACTAATTAACTAACTAACTAACTACTAACTAACTAACTACTAACTAACTAACTACTAACTAACTAACTAACTAACTAACTAACTAACTAACTAACTAACTAACTAACTAACTAACTAACTAACTAACTAACTAACTAACTACTAACTAACTAACTAACTAACTAACTACTAACTAACTACTAACTAACTAACTAACTAACTAACTAACTATCTAGCTTACTAGCTCTAGCCTTTAGTCTAGTTTATAGCTGTGACTATAATCCACTCCATAGCCTGAAGTACAGCATAATGTCTGAACTCTGATAGAATCTTTACTTTTGAGTATAGTCTACTTCATAATTAGGACTGCAATCGTTTCTATAGTCTGGATTTTCTATAGTTCTGGACAATAATATAATCTTCAGTCTGGTCTATGTTTTTGAAAAATATTCAGTCTATAGTATATACTTTACTACAGTTCAGTCTGTAGTTTGACTTATAGTCTAGTCTGGAGTAGGGACTATAGTATAGCCTATATTCTTCACTTGTAGATGATTTATTTATAACAAAATAACATAAATTTTAACTGGCGGAATTCGCTTTTTGTTGACTAGTGTAATCTATAAAAACAAAAAAAAGTCTTTGCAATATTACAATAAAACCGCAGGGCATTTTTTTGAAGTGCAAAAACAAAACGTTAAAATTTGAAATTCTCCACCTCATTTGCAAATACAAATATATTTTTGCAATTCAGTGCATTTTTACCAAAGTTATTTATTTATGTAAAAATGGTGGTTGATTAATAAAATTACAGCAAGAAAAAAATGTAAAGCAATGGAAAGAGTAGAGCATGATATGATGATGGCTGGTGCTGAATGCATAAGAAATATTTATAATGGTGTAGTGTGTTGAAGAGCCAAAGTAAGCTTTATAAGCCACTTGAAATAATGGCATTGTTTTGCTGTTAATGACATATAAAAATGGCAATTGGGCATGAAGGAAGCAAACAGCAAAAAAAAAATCATAAAAAAATTATTAAAAGGGGAGAGAAGTAAGAAAAAAAGGAATTTATATGAATATTTTTTACAAAAAAATATGAAATGTTTAAATAAAATATTGTGTAATGACGTGCATCATGATACACCACCAGACCAAAGAAAACCATTATGAAGGTGTGAAAAATCATAAAATTTATATCCAAATATTGTTTTCTGTTTTATGGACAAAAACAAAAATCATCCTTTCTTACTTTTGTTTCTTTTCATAATAAAATGCATTATTGTCTTTGCCTATTTTCCCCAAGACATCCTTTAACAGGATGTAAAACAGCAGCTTATGCATAAAAAAGTGTTGAAGGTCTTAAGAAATATTTTGCCAACATACAACACTTTACAATTCATCTCTACTTGTTGTCTGTCTTAATTATTCCTTTAGGATGCTTAAAATAATTAGTCATTATTTTTGTTTAACTATACAAAGGATTTACTCCTCTTTTTTTTCTTGCGTAGTACTTATGTTTCTTAAAAAAAGTATTAGGTTTCATTGGTTCTTCACTTACTTGTATACGATCCTCAGGTAGTTCTGTTTTCAAAGACAACATTTCACGTGCATACACATCTGGATAGTGTGCCTCCTTAAAAGCTTCTTCTAACTTTTCCAATTGATAACTGGTGAATATTGTACGACTATGTCGTCGTTTTTTCTTTTTCTTTTTGTTGGCAAAACCATTGAGACCGTCCAAAGAGAAATCTTTACCGGCTAGAGAACCTGCAAAGAATTTAAAAACAAAAATTTAGTTTTACACTCACGGAAAAAGTTTAAATTCTAGATAACTTATAATTACATTTTATTTATGCGATATCTGATTTATAAATGATCTAGTTAGTCTATAGTTCAGTTTGTAGACTAGTCTAGTCTATAGTCTAGTTTACAGTCTAGTTCTATAGTCTAGTCTACAGTATAGTCTATCGTCCAGTCTACATAGTCTAGTCTATAGTCTAGTCTAGTCTAGTCTATAGTCTAGTCTATAGTCTAGTCTATAGTCTAGTCTATAGTCTAGTCTAGTCTATAGTCCTAGTCTTATAGCTAGTCTATAGTCTAGTCTAGTACTAGTCTAGTCTAGTCTAGTCCTAGTCTATAGTCTAGTCTATAGTCTAGTTCTATAGTCCTAGTCCTATAGTCCTAGTTTGAAGTAGTCTCTAGTCTAGGCTATAGTCTCGTCCTATAGGTCCTAGTCCTATAGTCTAGTCTATAGTCCTAGTCTATTGTCCTAGTCTATCGTCTAGTCTATTCGAGTCTATAGTCCTGCTAATGTCCTAGTCTTAGTCTAGTCTATAGTCTCGTCTATAGTCCTAGCTATAGTCTAGTCTATAGTCTAGTCTATAGTCTAGTCTATAGTCTAGTCTATAGTCTAGTCTATAGTCTAGTCTATAGTCTAGTCTATAGTCTAGTCTATAGTCTAGTCTACACTCTAGTCTATAGTCTAGTCTATAGTCTAGTCTATAGTGTAGTCTATAGTCTAGTCTATAGTCTAGTCTATAGTCTAGTCTATAGTCTAGTCTATAGTCTAGTCTATAGTCTAGTCTATAGTCTAGTCTATAGTCTAGTCTATAGTCTAGTCTATAGTCTAGTCTATAGTCTAGTCTATAGTCTAGTCTATAGTCTAGTCTATAGTCTAGTCTATAGTCTAGTCTATAGTCTAGTCTATAGTCTAGTCTATAGTCTAGTCTATAGTCTAGTCTATAGTCTAGTCTATAGTCTAGTCTATAGTCTAGTCTATAGTCTAGTCTATAGTCTAGTCTATAGTCTAGTCTATAGTCTAGTCTATAGTCTAGTCTATAGTCTAGTCTATAGTCTAGTCTATAGTCTAGTCTATAGTCAATCTAGTCAAGTCTATAGTCTAGTCTATAGTCTAGTCTATAGTCTAGTCTATAGTCTAGTATTATAGTCTATAGTCTAGTCTATAGTCTAGTCTATAGTCTAGTCTATAGTCTATCTATAGTCTAGTCTATAGTCTAGTCTATAGTCTAGTCTATAGTCTAGTCTATAGTCTAGTCTATAGTCTAGTCTATAGTCTAGTCTATAGTCTAGTCTATAGTCTAGTCTATAGTCTAGTCTATAGTCTAGTCTATAGTCTAGTCTATAGTCTAGTCTATAGTCTAGTCTATAGTCTAGTCTATAGTCTAGTCTATAGTCTAGTCTATAGTCTAGTCTATAGTCTAGTCTATAGTCTAGTCTATAGTCTAGTCTATAGTCTAGTCTATAGTCTAGTCTATAGTCTAGTCTATAGTCTAGTCTATAGTCTAGTCTATAGTCTAGTCTATAGTCTAGTCTATAGTCTAGTCTATATCTAGTCTATAGTCTAGGTCTATATTCTAGTCTATAGTCAGTCTATAGTCTAGTCTAATAGTCTGTCTATAGTCTAGTCTATAGTCTAGTCTATAGCTAGTCTATAGTCTAGTCTATAGTCAGGTCTATAGTCTAGTCTATAGTTAAGTCTATAGTCATAGTCTATAGTCTAGTCTAGAGTCTAGTCTATAGTCGAGTATATAGTCTAGTTATAGTCTAGCTATAGTCTAGTCTATAGTATAGCTATAGTTAGTCTAAGTCTAGTCTATAGTCTAGTCTATAGGTCTAGTCTATAGGCTAGCTATTAGTCTAGTCTATAGTCTAGTCTATAGTCTAGTAGTCTACCCTATAGTCCTACGCCCCTTATTGGCAAGTCCTCGCAAAAGTTTAGCTCTAATAATTTCTCAGATATACTAAGTTTGTGTTTACTATTATTATTTTTGTCTTAAATATTAACATTGATACTGATGTGCTACGACGGATTTTGCTGATTTTAAATAGAAAACTTCTCGAAAGCATGTCAGACAGAATAACTGAAGATTTGGATCCCGAAGATATCTGGGGTCTTCAGAAAATTGATTTGAACAAACAGACAGACCGAGAGACAGAGGGATATTGCTTAATCGACACCACAATCTATAAGGATACAGAATATACATATATAGTTTATAGGATGTGGAAATTATGTTGTAGAAATTACTAACAGAATGACAAACTGAAGGGTATAAAAATTGGGGCTTTAAATTCTTGATAATTTAATTACTTTACGTTTTCACATATTTTTCATAATTCTTCTTTAGAGAATTTCCCCACACTTAAGAAATTTCAACACATTCATTTACCTTTAACAGCCACTTGAACTGATGATCTTGCTTGTTGTTACCAACAACAATTTATTGATTTCCTTATTCAAAGAAACTAAATATCAAACAAAACAGGAAATTTAATACTCATTTTAATAAAAAAAATTCCTACTTAGTAGACTTAAATAAACAAAGTTTCTTTATTTTTTCTAATTTCTACTTAAAAATCGTGAATAGCTCAAGTTACCGCGGCGCGTTAAGAGACGTCGCCACTGATGGAAGAACAGCAGTAACTCATCAGCAGGCGCAATGTAACTTCTTAAAAACACTTTGAAAAGAAAAACATTTGTAGCGCCCCCCCTCGAATTAACATGAATAGATATTTATGTACCAGAGTCTGAACGTTTTCCTTTCACAGACCCTGTTGTGGCCAGACGAACATGTGTGATGGATTTGCAACAATTTCTTTTACTTAACACACTTGATGACTGGTTGTAATGATCGTTTACAGTTGTTGCTGTTTGAGGTTTCCAACGATCTAAAGGTTTTGTTTTATTAAATATTCAAATTCCGTTAAATAAATATGATTTTCCAGGAATATTTATTTGTTTTTTCTCTTTTACTAATGATGACAGTTTATTAGTTAGTACTTTTTTGTGTTATTTGAAGTATTTAGCATTTCTCCTTAAGGGCCTTGAAGGCGGATTAAAACACTTTTAAGGGGTTAAGTAAATAACTTAAGGAAATGTATAAACGTAAGATTAAGTGTGGGAAAATTTATTTAAAATTTTTGAGAAAATTTAAAAAGCAAAACAAGATGTCAATATACAAATAGATCTAGTAGCTAACCGTTAGAACCAGTTACCTAACTAGTCCTATGCTAAAAATTACTTGTTCCAACAGCAGTTTTATTTCCGTTTTAATATTTTTAGAAAAAGTACAAAAGTTACAGCAATATTTAGAAGATGATCGCTTCAACAACAACAACAACTCATCAATCATTAATCAAAACCGCTGTATCCAACACCAACTGTTTGACAACATTATATATTAACAACTTACAACAATACATACCTGCACACACGCACATACATAAATACCTACATCATTATATTCCATGACTATAATCATCAAAATACTAGTTTTTTTACTATAAAATTTTTAGTCTAGTCTATAAGTGTAATACTACTAGTGAATCCCCACAATTCTTTAGTTTAATTTTGACAAAAAAAACAAAAAAACAGTGGTGAATATACATTTAGCACTGTCTTATTTATTTAATGCAAAAGAATTTAAAAAAATCATTAATAAACAATAATTAATTCGCTTTGTTTTTCGTGTGTAATTTTTAATAATTTAGGTAGAAATACCTGTTGAAATATTTGAGAATATATATTAGAGAATTTTAATTAATGTTAACAGAATTAAAAGAATGAATTGATTTTTGTTTTATAAGAAATGTTATATCATCTGCCTCAATTAAATGTATCGGATTGCTGATTGGCTAGGGCCTTATCATTATAGTATAGTCTATAACTAGTCTAGTCTATAGTTTAGTCTATAAATACATAGTCTATAGTCTAGTCAATGGTCTAGTCTTTAGACTAGTCAATAGTGTAGTCTATGGTCTAGTCTATAGTCTAGTCTATAGTCTAGTCTATGGTCTAGTCTATAGTCTAGTATATAGTCTAGTCTATAGTCTATTCTATAGTCTAGTCTATAGTCTAGTTTATAGTCTAGTCTATAGTCTACTCTATAGTCTAGTCTATAGTCTAGTCTATAGTCTAGTTTATAGTCTAGTCTATAGTCTAGTTTATAGTTTAGTCTATAGTCTAGCTTATAGTCTAGTATATAGTCTAGTCTATAGTCTAGTCTATAATCTAGTCTATAGTCTAGTCTATAGTCTAGTCTACAGTCTAGTCTATAGTCTAGTCTATAGTCTAGTCTACAGTCTAGTCTATAGTCTAGTCTATAGTCTAGTCTATAGTCTAGTCTATAGTCTAGTCTATAGTCTAGTCTATAGTCTAGTCTATAGTCTAGTCTATAGTCTAGTCTATAGTCTAGTCTATAGTCTAGTCTATAGTCTAGTCTATAGTCTAGTCTATAGTCTAGTCTATAGTCTAGTCTATAGTTTAGTCTATAGTCTAGTCTATAGTCTAGTCTATAGTTTAGTCTATAGTTTAGTCTATAGTCTAGTCTATAGTCTAGTCTATAGTCTAGTCTATAGTCTAGTCTATAGTCTAGTCTATAGTCTAGTCTATGGTCTAGTCTATAGTCTAGTCTATAGTCTAGTCTATAGTCTAGTCTATAGTCTAGTCTATAGTCTAGTCTACAGTCTAGTCTATAGTCTTGTCTATAGTCTAGTCTATAGTCTAGTTTATAGTCTAGTCTATAGTCTAGTCTATAGTCTAGTTTATAGTCTAGTCTATAGTCTAGTCTATAATCTAGTCTATAGTCTAGTCTATACTCTAGTCTATAGTCTATTCTATAGTCTAGTCTATAGTCTAGTCTATAGTTTAGTCTATAGTCTAGTCTATAGTCTAGTCTATAGTCTAGTCTATAGTCTAGTCTATAGTCTGGGCTATAGTCTAGTCTATATTCTAGTCTATAGTCTAGTCTATAGTCTAGTCTATAGTCTATTCTATAGTCTAGACTATAGACTAGACTATAGACTAGACTATAGACTAGACTATATACAAGACTATAGTCTAGTCTATAGTCTTGTCTATAGTCTAGTCTATAGTCTAGTCTATAGTCTAGTCTGTAGTCTAGTCTATAGTCTATAGTCTAGTCTAGTCTAGTCTAGTCTAGTCTAGTCTAGTCTAGTCTAGTCTAGTCTAGTCTATAGTCTAGTCTATAGTCTAGTCTATAGTCTAGTCTATAGTGTAGTCTATAGTCTAGTCTATAGTGCAGTCTATAGTGTAGTCTATAGTGTAGTCTATAGTGTAGTCTATAGTGTAGTCTATAGTCTAGTCTTTAGTGTAGTCTATGGTCCAGTCTATAGTCTAGTTTATAGTCTAGTTTATAGTCTAGTTTATAGTCTAGTTTATAGTCTAGTTTATAGTCTAGTTTATAGTCTAGTCTATAGTCTAGTCTATAGGCTAGTCTATAGTCTAGTCTATAGTCTAGTCTATAGTCTAGTCTATAGTCTAGTCTATAGTCTAGTCTATAGGCTAGTCTATAGTCTAGTCTATAGTCTAGTCTATAGGCTAGTCTACAGTCTAGTCTATAGTCTAGTCTATAGTCTAGTCTATAGTCTAGTCTATATTCTAGTCTATAGTCTAGTCTATAGTCTAGTCTATAGTCTAGCCTATAGTCTAGTCTATAGTCTAGTCTATATTCTAGTCTTTAGTCTAGTCTGTAGTCTAGACTATAGACAGTCTAGTCTATAGTCTAGTCTATATTCTAGTCTATAGTCTAGTCTATAGTCTAGTCTGTAGTCTGGTCTATAGTCTAGTCTATAGTTTAGTCTATAGTCTACTCTATAGTCTAGTCTATAGTCTACTCTATAGTCTAGTCTATAGGCTAGTCTATAGTCTAGTCTATAGTCTAGTCTATAGTCTAGTCTATAATCTAGTCTATAGTCTAGCCTATAGTCTAGTCTATAGCCTAGTCTATAGTCTAGTCTGTAGTCTAGTCTATAGTTTAGTCTATAGTCTAGTCTATAGTCTACTCTATAGTCTAGTCTATAGTCTACTCTATAGTCTAGTCTATAGTCTACTCTATAGTCTTCTCTATAGTCTAGTCTATAGTCTAGTCTATAGTCTAGTCTATAGTCTAGTCTGTAGTCTAGTCTATATTCTAGTCTATAGTCTAGTCTAGTCTATAGTCTAGTCTGTAGTCTAGTCTATAGTCTAGTCTATAGTTTAGTCTATAGTCTACTCTATATTCTAGTCTATTGTCTACTCTATAGTCTAGTCTATAGTCTACTCTATAGTCTAGTCTATAGTCTAGTCTATAATCTAGTCTATAGTCTAGTCTATAGTCTAGTCTATAGTCTAGTCTATAGTCTAGTCCATATTATTTTCTGTAGTCTAATCTATAGTCTAGTCTATAGTCTAGTATATATTATAGTCTGTAGTCTCGTTTGGTACATAATGTTTACATTCATTTAAATGCTGTTTATGAACAAACTTGTCATTTGAATGAAACAACAAAACATCTAACTAAAACACGAATATAACAACAAATATTTCGAGACTAATGTCATATGCAAAATACCCAACAAAATACATATATTTAGACACACATTTGCAATTTGAAAAGAAGATTCAGAGAAAAGCAACAAAAAGCAGATGAAAACGAAAACAAACCGAGAACAAAAGTTTTTTTTTTTTTAAGAAGAAGCTGCTCGCGACTAAGATTACCTGACTGGCGACTGTTTTAAAATTTAATTCAAATGTCTAAGTTTAGTTTAAAACCGGACGCCTGCGCGTCTAGTCTACAGTCTAGTCTATAGTCTTGTCTATAGTCTAGTCTATAGTCTAGTTTATAGTCTAGTCTATAGTCTAGTCTATAGTCTAGTTTATAGTCTAGTCTATAGTCTAGTCTATAATCTAGTCTATAGTCTAGTCTATACTCTAGTCTATAGTCTATTCTATAGTCTAGTCTATAGTCTAGTCTATAGTTTAGTCTATAGTCTAGTCTATAGTCTAGTCTATAGTCTAGTCTATAGTCTAGTCTATAGTCTGGGCTATAGTCTAGTCTATATTCTAGTCTATAGTCTAGTCTATAGTCTAGTCTATAGTCTATTCTATAGTCTAGACTATAGACTAGACTATAGACTAGACTATAGACTAGACTATATACAAGACTATAGTCTAGTCTATAGTCTTGTCTATAGTCTAGTCTATAGTCTAGTCTATAGTCTAGTCTGTAGTCTAGTCTATAGTCTATAGTCTAGTCTAGTCTAGTCTAGTCTAGTCTAGTCTAGTCTAGTCTAGTCTAGTCTAGTCTAGTCTAGTCTAGTCTAGTCTAGTCTAGTCTAGTCTAGTCTAGTCTAGTCTAGTCTAGTCTATAGTCTAGTCTATAGTCTAGTCTATAGTCTAGTCTATAGTGTAGTCTATAGTCTAGTCTATAGTGCAGTCTATAGTGTAGTCTATAGTGTAGTCTATAGTGTAGTCTATAGTGTAGTCTATAGTCTAGTCTTTAGTGTAGTCTATGGTCCAGTCTATAGTCTAGTTTATAGTCTAGTTTATAGTCTAGTTTATAGTCTAGTTTATAGTCTAGTTTATAGTCTAGTTTATAGTCTAGTCTATAGTCTAGTCTATAGGCTAGTCTATAGTCTAGTCTATAGTCTAGTCTATAGTCTAGTCTATAGTCTAGTCTATAGTCTAGTCTATAGGCTAGTCTATAGTCTAGTCTATAGTCTAGTCTATAGGCTAGTCTACAGTCTAGTCTATAGTCTAGTCTATAGTCTAGTCTATAGTCTAGTCTATATTCTAGTCTATAGTCTAGTCTATAGTCTAGTCTATAGTCTAGCCTATAGTCTAGTCTATAGTCTAGTCTATATTCTAGTCTTTAGTCTAGTCTGTAGTCTAGACTATAGACAGTCTAGTCTATAGTCTAGTCTATATTCTAGTCTATAGTCTAGTCTATAGTCTAGTCTGTAGTCTGGTCTATAGTCTAGTCTATAGTTTAGTCTATAGTCTACTCTATAGTCTAGTCTATAGTCTACTCTATAGTCTAGTCTATAGGCTAGTCTATAGTCTAGTCTATAGTCTAGTCTATAGTCTAGTCTATAATCTAGTCTATAGTCTAGCCTATAGTCTAGTCTATAGCCTAGTCTATAGTCTAGTCTGTAGTCTAGTCTATAGTTTAGTCTATAGTCTAGTCTATAGTCTACTCTATAGTCTAGTCTATAGTCTACTCTATAGTCTAGTCTATAGTCTACTCTATAGTCTTCTCTATAGTCTAGTCTATAGTCTAGTCTATAGTCTAGTCTATAGTCTAGTCTGTAGTCTAGTCTATATTCTAGTCTATAGTCTAGTCTAGTCTATAGTCTAGTCTGTAGTCTAGTCTATAGTCTAGTCTATAGTTTAGTCTATAGTCTACTCTATATTCTAGTCTATTGTCTACTCTATAGTCTAGTCTATAGTCTACTCTATAGTCTAGTCTATAGTCTAGTCTATAATCTAGTCTATAGTCTAGTCTATAGTCTAGTCTATAGTCTAGTCTATAGTCTAGTCCATATTATTTTCTGTAGTCTAATCTATAGTCTAGTCTATAGTCTAGTATATATTATAGTCTGTAGTCTCGTTTGGTACATAATGTTTACATTCATTTAAATGCTGTTTATGAACAAACTTGTCATTTGAATGAAACAACAAAACATCTAACTAAAACACGAATATAACAACAAATATTTCGAGACTAATGTCATATGCAAAATACCCAACAAAATACATATATTTAGACACACATTTGCAATTTGAAAAGAAGATTCAGAGAAAAGCAACAAAAAGCAGATGAAAACGAAAACAAACCGAGAACAAAAGTTTTTTTTTTTTTAAGAAGAAGCTGCTCGCGACTAAGATTACCTGACTGGCGACTGTTTTAAAATTTAATTCAAATGTCTAAGTTTAGTTTAAAACCGGACGCCTGCGCGTTAATATAATTTACGTTAAAAAAGCGAAATATTTAAATAGAAATATTAATACAATTTATAAACAAATAAAATACAAAAGTTTAAAGAAATTTTAATAATAATAAAAAAACGAATTTAAACGAGATAGAAAAAAAAGAAATGTTTTGATTTTGTTGCAAAATTAAAAGTGAAATTTTTATTTAAAATATATATTAAGAAAATGTCTACTGCCACAACTGCCCTGGCGGCCACTAAAAATGAGGAAGAAAAACTGAATTATTTTCAAAAAGTATGGCGTTTTCGCCGTTACTTGACCATAGAACCGTTTTTCTTCTTCTATTTGATGGCAAGTGTTTTCAATGCCATTGCCATGTTAAATTTCCCGTTGGATAAGGCGTGTCGTGTTAACTTGGGTTATAGTAAAGAGGTGTGTGCTACGACTTTGGATAAATCACAATATGACATCGATTGTGATGCTTTTAATTTTGAAAATGCCACCGAATTTGAGGCCACTGCAGCGGAAATGTTTTTCAATGACACCTCACCGGGCTTTAACTATACGGTGTGTAAAGCAGAAGTGGGTGCTCAGAAATTGGCCGCCAATGTTTCGGGCAAAAGAGCACCGATAGGTAAGATTTGTTTTTAAGATCTATTTGGGGTGGTCTAAAGAAACGTTTAAAACTAAACAATCGGTTGTATTAGAATATGATTTAAAAAATTTTAAACACTTTTAGTTTGACCCTCGTTATAATCCCCGGCTATTACCTTATAAGGTATTTTACAAAACACACAAAAAACTATTTCCCATATTTAAATATTAAAACCAAATTTTATACATATTAGTAAAATTATAAACAAAATTTTGTTTAGAAGTTTAAATAAATTTATTTAACATGACGTAAGATTTCTTTAATATTTCCTCTTCTTCTACAATAAAATCAAATTTTAATTTGTTTCTGAAATTTTTTGTTAATTTCTTAAATATCAGCCACTAAACAAAAAATTTCAAAAAATACCCAGAATAATTATTTCAAACCTGATTTAAATAAAAAAATTTAATTCAACTTCAGGTCTAATTAACAGTATTTTAGTTAACTTATTAATTTTTGTGTATGCTGCCATAAATCTGGTGGTAAAACTGGTAAAAAAAAAATTTAGTAAAAAATATAATTATCCCCACAAATCAAATATTCAGAATTACATTCTTCTTGTTATAAGAATATTTATCTGATTATTCTTTTTCTCTTGAATAATATGTAATTTGCTGTGGTTCAAAGGACCAATTTATTGTTTATTGTCTTAAAACTGGTTCAACGGTACAAAATGTTCTCAATAAATGCGAATGTATTCTTTAATTGTTTTGACCCATTGAGCTTAAAACAAGCTAAAGGTACTAATAGAATCTTTTCAACTACATATGCCAACAAATGTTCAGCTCAGATAAGAAATTTCTTGCTCTCATCAGGGTCACCCCATAGGATCTTCGTGGTTCTACCCACTGTTTTATTATTCCAAGAGGCCTTATGGGTTTCTCTCACCGATATTTTTAGTTTAGCTTTTGTTGGGTCTAATGGTTTTGCGTTTGTCAGGTTAACTGCCTCGAGCTCCCTTCCCTTTAAAGCTATTACATTCACCCTTTCGTTGCCGACTACTCCCGAGTGGGCTGGTACCCATATGATGAAAATCTTACCTCTGGGAGAGTATTTAGTTAAAGCTTTCTTATAATCCAATACGGTCTTATATTTAATTCTATCACCTGATATCGCCCTAATTTCCTTCTGGCTGTCGGTAAATATATTATGGGCTGTGGAAGCTTGTGTTATGATTTGGTAAACGGTGGTATATTTCTGTTTCTGGGTCTTTAATATAGAACCCCAGCTCCACTTTCTCCCCCAATTTAGAGCCATCCGTGTAACAACGGATTCCTTCTGGTATTTGCTCTAATGTTCCGCTTGACCAAGACTTTCTATCTGGGATCAGCGTTTCAATGTTTCCGACATATTCTGTGTCTGGTATGAGATCAGGCACTTCCGATAATTGTGTATAACCTTCCAATGTGCCCAGTATACATTGACGACGTGTCCTATAACCGCTTTTGACTAGCTCGCCGTTCGGCTGTAAGCGCCGCCTCATATCTTAAATACATATACTGGTATCTTCTTGCCTAGGAAGCAAGGTTCAGTATACGTAGAAATTTTTGTTTTTCTTGTGAAAAGACAGATTTCCCTTTTTGCCGGGTTAACATTGAGGCCTCTCGGTTGAGTCCAGCTCAAGGCCGTATTCAGAGCCCCCTCAGCTCTTCTACACAAATAATTTGGATCCTTTCCCTTTAAAAGTATTACGACATCGTCTGCATAGCAGACAGGTCTAAGTCGTTTCTCGGTTAGGGTCCTTAGGAGGCTATTAATCGTGGTAAACCAGAGTAAAGGTGACAAAATGCCATCCTGTGGTAGACCGCGAAATACCTTTTTCCTGATAGTTATATCGTACATATCGCAGCTTATCCATCTGTTCCTTAGCATGTGGTTGATCCAGTTAAGGAGCACCCGGTCAACATAAAACTGCTCTAGAGATTAGAGTATCAGTGTGCAAGTTATTGAAGGTCAATGCATACTGCCAGCGTATACAATTTGCTATCAAAGGATGCACCTATATAGTGGACAATTTCGTTTAAAGCGGTTTCCACCGATCGTCCCTTTACATAAGCATGCTGCTTATAAGTATTTAAAATCTTTGTCTGGTGTTCTGCTTTTCACCATACTATCGACCATCTGTTCCAAGGTTTTAAGTAGGAAGGACGTAAGACTTATCGGTCGATAGGACTTAGGTGTCGCATAGCTAGGTTTTCCTGGTTTGGGTATAAACATTGCCCTTGCATCCTGCCATTTAACTGGGGTATATGTTAATTTCAAGCATACAGTGACAGATGTACGGACCTGCAGCTTTATAGGGAGCAATGCTCTTGAATGCCCCTTTAACAACGTCATATGTAATAACTATTTCCGTATTAGACTCAGCATTATGACTAAGTGTTGATGCCTTTTTAACTTTTTGGTGAAAATAAGGGCCGCTATTTCGAAGAAAACTTTTGGACCAGAAAATGATTTTACATAGTCACAATATAAAGTTTTTCTCTAGAAATTGTGATAAAAATCGGTATAGAGGGAAAATATCTCGTAAATAATTTAGTTTAGTTCTAGTTCTGTTCTAGTTTTGTTCTAGTTCTGTTCTAGTACTGTTCTAGTTCTGTTCTAGTTCTGTTCTAGTTCTGTTCTAGTTCCATTCTAGTTCTGTTCTAGTTCTGTTCTAGTTCTGTTCTAGTTCTGTTCTAGTTCTGTTCTATAGTTCTAGTTCTGTTCTAGTTCTGTTCTAGTTCTGTTCTAGTTCTGTTCTAGTTCTGTTCTAGTTCTGTTCTAGTTCTGTTCTAGTTCTGTTCTAGTTCTGTTCTAGTTCTGTTCTAGTTCTGTTCTAGTTCTGTTCTAGTTCTGTTCTAGTTCTGTTCTAGTTCTGTTCTAGTTCCATTCTGTAGTCTGTTCTAGTTCTGTTCTAGTTCGTTCTAGTTCTGTTCTAGTTCTGTTCTAGTTCTGTTCTAGTTCTGTTCTAGTTCTGTTCTAGTTCTGTTCTAGTTCTAGTTCTGTTCTAGTTCTGTTCTAGTTTTCTGTGTCTAGTTCTGTTTAGTTCTGTTCTAGTTCTGTTCTAGTTCTGTTCTAGTTCTGTTCTAGTTCCATTCTAGTTCTGTTCTAGTTCTGTTCTAGTTCTGTTCTAGTTCTGTTCTAGTTCTGTTCTAGTTCTGTTCTAGTTCTGTTCAGTTCTGTTCTAGTTCTGTGTTCTAGTTCTGTTCTAGTTCTGTTCTAGTTCTGTTCTAGTTCTGTTCTAGTTCTGTTCTAGTTCTGTTCTAGTTACTGATTCTAGTTCTGTTCTAGTTCTGTTCTAGTTCTGTTCTAGTTCTGTTCTAGTTCTGTTCTAGTTCTGTTCTAGTTCTGTTCAGTTCTGTTCTAGTTCTGTTCTAGTTCTGTTCTAGTTCTCTAGTTCTGTTCTAGTTCTGTTCTAGTTCTGTTCTAGTTCTGTCTAGTTCTGTTCTAGTTTGTTCTAGTTCTGTTCTAGTTTGTCTAGTTCGTCTAGTTCTGTTCTAGTTCTGTTCTAGTTCTGTTCTAGGTTCTGTTCTAGTTCTGTTCTAGTTTCTGTTCTAGGTTCTGTTCTAGTTCTGTTCTAGTTCTGTTCTAGTTCTGTTTCTAGTTCTGTTCTAGTTCTGTTCTGTTCTAGTTCTGTTCTAGTTCTGTTCTAGTTCTGTTCTAGTTCTGTTCTAGTTCTGTTCTAGTTTCTGTTCTAGTTCCTGTTCTAGTTCTGTTCTAGTTCTGTTCTAGTTCTGTTCTAGTTCTGTTCTAGTCTGTTCTAGTTCTGTTCTAGTTCTGTTCTAGTTCTGTTCTAGTTCTGTTCTAGTTTTTCTAGTTTGTTCTAGTTCTGTTCTAGTTCTGTTCTAGTTCTGTTCTAGTTCTGTTCTAGTTCTGTTCTAGTTCTGTTCTAGTTCTGTTCTAGTTCTGTTCTAGTTCTGTTCTAGTTCTGTTCTAGTTCTGTTCTAGTTTGTTCTAGTCTGTTCTAGTTATGTTCTAGTTCTGTTCTAGTTCTGTTCTAGTTCATGTTCTAGTTCTGTTCTAGTTCTGTTCTAGTTCTGTTCTAGTTCTGTTCTAGTTCTGTTCTAGTTCTGTTCTAGTTCTGTTCTAGTTCTGTTCTAGTTCTTTCTATTTTGTTCTATGTTCTGTTTCTAGTTCTGTTCTAGTTATGTTCTAGTTCTGTTCTAGTTCTGTTCTAGTTCTGTTCTGTTCTAGTTCTGTTCTAGTTCTGTTCTAGTTCTGTTCTAGTTCTGTTCTAGTTCTGTTCTAGTCTGTTATAGTTCTGTTCTAGTTCTGTTCTAGTTCTGTTCTAGTTCTGTTCTAGTTCTGTTCTAGTTCTGTTCTAGTTCTGTTCTAGTTCTGTTCTAGTTCTGTTCTAGTTCTGTTCTAGTTCTGTTCTAGTTCTGTTCTAGTTCTGTTCTAGTTCTGTTCTAGTTCTGTTCTAGTTCGTTCTAGTTCAGTTCTAGTTCAGTTCTAGTTCTGTTCTAGTTCTGTTCTAGTTCTGTTCTAGTTTTGTTCTAGTTCTGTTCTAGTTCTGTTCTAGTTCCGTTCTAGTTCTGTTCTAGTTCTTTTCTAGTTCTATTCTAGTTCTGTTCTAGTTCTGTTCTAGTTCTGTTATATTTCTGTTCTAGTTCTAGTTCTGTTCTAGTTCGTTCTAGTTCTGTTCTAGTTCTGTTCTAGTTCTGTTCTAGTTTGTCTAGTTCTGTTCTAATTCTGTTCTAGTTCTGTTCTAGTTCTGTTCTAGTTCTGTTCTAGTTCTGTTCTAGTTCTGTTCTAGTTCTGTTCTAGTTCTGTTCTAGTTCTGTTCTAGTTCTGTTCTAGTTCTGTTCTAGTTCTGTTCTACTTCTGTTCTAGTTCTTTTCTAGTTCTGTTCTAGTTCTATTCTAGTTCTGTTCTAGTTCTGTTCTAGTTCTGTTCTAGTTCTGTTCTAGTTCTGTTCTAGTTCTGTTCTAGTTCTGTTCTAGTTCTGTTCTAGTTCTGCTCTAGTTCTGTTCTAGTTCTGTTCCAGTTCTGTTCTA